CCCCAAAACCCCAAAACCCCAAAACCCCATATGTAATAAATGAGTAAGTATTTAGATTTCTTAAAAATTAATAAGTTATTGATAATTAGCTTTACACATATTTCCTTTTCATGAGTAAAATATATTCTCACATTAAATGCATACTGTTTCTCTCACCATTATCAGCAGTTCCTCCATCCATTGCTGAATCACGGGCAGGCATTACTCCCTCAGACAAATCAAATTTCACTTCATAGGTTTATAGAGTAGTCAAATCCAATAATACTATGCTTTTGCTCTTGGTGAAAGTTGGCACGCTGACGAGTTTTACACCTTGCTTGTAAGGAGAGTTTTAAGTAGCTTCATTTACTATCATCTTCTCCTGATATTTATCCTGATTACCAGCGAAAAGTATGTGAGGTGATTGATGAATAATAAAAGGGTCTGATTCTAATTAAGGATAAGCTCTGAGAGTATCTGGTGCCGAGGGACATAAGTGTCTGATTTCTAAGATCATTTCAAGTGCTCCTAGAGAGTCATACTGCTTATCATCTTTGTTTCTAAATGTACCTTTGGTGTAAGAATAGATATCATTTAGGTTTTAGCCTGATGTTCCTAAGAAACTGAGTCCACTCATTTTGAATTTGTGGGGATTAGTAACAAGATTAATTGAATCTCTGCTTTGAAGCTATGGGAAAAGGCAAGAGTTTAAAGGCTATTACGGTAAGAAGCTGCTGCTGAAATCATCTTGGCCTGGCATTATATCTACATCAGCCATTAAACTCAGTTGATCTAAGAAGTTCTCGAAAGTGTCAAGGACATCTGAGATACTCTTGTATACTCTGTAAGTAATAAATCGACCAATAGTAATACCTTTAATTGAGTGATTACACCCTATAAGATCCTCTAAGAACTTAGTCAGAATCCTCAGGCTAAACAATAGAATTACCACAGATCACAACTCTTGAAATTTAACTAGCCAACTATTCAAAAATGATCAGAATAAAGTTATTTTACCTTTGTATTTTTAGGTCCTCCTAGCTCTCCTCTCATGAATCTGAGAAACAATTCAACCGACATAACATCACAGGTTTGCCCAAATTCCAAGCCACTGATAAAAGCAACAAACTCTCTTTTAGGATCATCAAGACCTTCGTATAGATCGCGCTATTTGTTGATTGCCACACTAAGGGGTAGAGGATTATTATAAGGAATTCCTGAAAAACAATAATCAATAACCTCAAAAAAGCCATTATTATCCACGATTCCTCTTAGTCCAATGATTGTTCCAGATACAAAATTATCATGATTAAAGTTAGCCCCTCTCTTTACTCTTATTCTACCTGATATGTCTTCAAGAACAGCATAATCATCCTCACTGACATAGAGGCCATGACTAAACTTTTTGGTTCCTAAGACGCCTAATACATTTTTCAATATGGATGGCTTTAGTGGCATCTCCTTAAAGAGAGTTCCTATTATAACAGTCTCCTGATTTGGCCTGATATCCAATATGTTATTAGCATATGGTATATGCACTCCCCAGAGCATTTCTGCATTTTCCTTGACATGAGGTTTGAGACTAGCAAGCCTTAGCCAATAAAAAGTAGCGTACTAGAGCATTTCTTTAACATCTTTCTTAATTATAAAATCTTCATCTTCTATCTTGTATGTCTCATTAGATCTTTTATTAATGGTAATACTCTCATCTATTCCTAGTTTCTTTGCATCTTATTGATGAGCTTTAATGAAATTATTCAGATAATCCTCAATGTCCGCCATTGTAAAAGTTGAACAAATTTAAAAATATTAATTGACCCCGCTTAAATTTCCTTTATAAATGCTTAATGGGGTTTTGGGGTTTTGGGGTTTTGGGGTTTTGGGG